AACCTCAGCATAAATCAAGGGGACCTTCTGTCAAAGGTACGGTATGGCGCTTCGCAACAATATCCAGCACGGGTCATGGCAAAATCACAGCGCTCTTGGCCAAATCTTCCCCCCTTGACATGCGTCAGCGCAAGGTCAGAGAGAGAATGAAACAAGACGCCTGGTCCAAGAGCGGCAAAGTCCCGGCTGGGCAAGGCTTGTGGTCTTTTGAAGGGTCTAAACAGTGAACATGCCTGGAGGCTGTAACTTCGAGTCGTCCTTCCCCACGCCCCTTGGCTGCCCATCTGCCCCCCTCCTTCAGGCTTTTGATGGAGTAGTTCTTGGGCCTCAAGCGAATCTCTCGAGAAGAGGCGCTAACCTGCTCAAAGCAAATGGGCTCTCAAAATAGGGACGACTCAAATGCGTCGGTTTCCCGGGCGCCTGAACCCCTAAAGGCCACAAAGGGGTTGATCAATTTGGCCTATCCCATCTCGAAGCCTGCAGGAGGGATTCGTGGGCCGGAGGTGAACGACGGCGCATGGTTTGACCTCTTCAAAGCTTATGAAAACGGGTTGGCCACAAAGACTCAAAAACAACAACGGCGATCTGCCAAGATCATCGGGCATCCATGAAATATATGTGAAATGTAGATAGATCGATATATATATATATATATATCCATAAGATATGTATAAACATGTGTCCCTTTCGACCTTCAGGCAGCGGCTAGATTGCCAAGTTGGCACTGGAGCCTTGTATTGCGGTCCCTGGAAATCTCCAAAGCGCCACCCTTTTCAGGTTATGCTGCTGCAAACCCCCTTAACACAATCACCACGCTCCAAACGTTTCAAGCAACGGCCGCACAAATTGACCACCACTGTTCCCCCCCTTTTCTGGGGACGCCAACTCTTGGTCAACTGGCCAATTCACGCTGATGGGCAGCAATGTGAATCATTGGCGTTCCACGGGCATGTGCTTTTTCTTGTCCTGACTTTCCTGCGTTTACTTGAGGTGGATGTTTACTTGGCTGTTCCTTTTTTCCAGTTGCTGTCCCATTGGCCGCACCTTCGGGGGGCCGGCCACCATTTTTCCCGGAGCACCCGGATCGGCTCCGGATCCGGGGCCCCGGCCACTGTAGCGTGGTCAGCTCCGCCCCGCTGGCGGCATAAACCACCTTCAGCTCGAGGGCCTCCTCGGATCATCGGATCGATCCGCGACCCAAAAAGGCAACAACCACAAACCTCGGGTCCACTCAAACCACCACCTCCCCCCTCCAAAAAAAAAACAGGAGGCGCACGCGCGCGCACACACACACATGTTGCTTTCTTCGGGTCCCCCAAACTGCGACTACCCGCAGTAACTGCGTTTCGAACCTCGCCCCTTCTCCTCCTCTCTGCCGGGGAAAGTTTGACCCTCCGCAGTTCAGAGCTCTGGTTCCCTGGGGTCTGACGACACACATTGACCTGGTCTGGTTCGTAAAACCCGAATTTCCAGCTGGCTTCAGTTTACGCATTTGTCACATCGCGCACACGTGGTTTCACACCTAGAAGTGCACAGGAGACTATTTAGGTCAGATTTCTTCACGTGGATTGGCGAAGTTCGCCTTTGACTGAATGATCGGGGTATCATGGAAGTTGCGTGGGCCTGACACATCAGAAACATTGGTGATATAAATCGAAGTCGTGGGCAACATCCAGAACGTCAAACCGAGAGAAGACCTGTTCGGGCAGTGCATGAGCAGGGAGAATAGATACAAGCCCAAAGCCACTCATATCAGCTACAAAACATCGCTGACTCCCCGATATACGAACCTGACTGGCTGACAGAGTCACGACCAACATGGTCAATAACCACACGCCACCGAAATCTCCGTCGTCTACCAGGCAACATTGGAACAGGTGGTCCCACACGCTCCCACATCTTCTCTTCTGTTGGCGGTCCCATGCAAAATTGAACAGGCGGTCCCAGAAACATTCTCTCCACAGCTTGATCATGCAAAATTGGAACAGGTGGTCCCACAGCTTCCTATCTTTCCGCTGGTTCTTCGCTCAGCGTTGACTCTCGCCGAGCGGCGGCCGCCACGGCAGGGGAAGCGGCTATGGCGGCCGCCACGGCAGGGGCTTTGGGTGGGCTTCCTCGGAAGTCAGGCCACGAGTTCCCTCAGAAGCCCAGGAACGCGTGCCTTCTGCACTGTCTATCCTTTCCTGGTCGCTTGGTTGCTGTTGACCCCTCTGCCAAAAAAAGTTTTAACTTTCTCTGGATTCAACTACCGCAACCCCCTTGAGTTCAACCAAAAAGTCGTCTACAGATCTCACCCAGTCGCCATCAAGGCCGGGAGCGCAATCCGCCACGCCTCGATTCCATGCCCCGCCTGCCGCGTATCCTGCCGGCTCCGCAGCGCGCTTCGCGGGCCCGCCCAGCAGCGGCCGCACGTTGCCCTTCGCCACCTGACGCGTGGATGCGGAGGATACCCCTACCGCTGCTTGCGAGAAAACCAGACATCGCACCGACCGGAAACCCAACGGAATGATTCGATTCCCCGGCACATACCAACAAACGCTATGCTTTCCTTCAGAGCTTCAAAGTGATGCACCGCAACAGCTTGCGCCCGGCCTCTCAAAATTGTTCAATCAGATGAGTTCTCGCACTTGCCAGCAGCACATTTCCTTGGTTCCTATGCACCCTTGCCGAACCCTCTTTCTTTCAAATCAAGCTTGCTAAATTGCTTGTGCCTGCTGCGGACTGCTACTTGCCATCGCAACGGCGCTGCTGACCTACTACACCTCGGCGCAAGTGGACACGCTGCCAACAGAACCGTACGGGAACGGCGCAGAACGCGGAGATGGCCGGCCATTGCGACGGCGCTGCTGGCCTACTACACCTCCTGGCAGTCCAGCTGCTCCTCAAGAAGCTCGATTCGACGTCGCAGGTGCGAGCGCTCGGCTTCGTGCAGCGCATTTTCTCGAGGACGCTTGCAGGGAGCCCGCTGCAACATCGAATGCGAGGTCGGAGGTGTCCTCGCGCACCCACACAGCGAACTTCTCCGATAGCCAGGCCTGCACGCACCGAAAGGTCCTTGAGAACGCCAGTGCTTGATCTTTTCGTTAGGCGGACTGACTGCACAACCTAAATTGTCCACTGCTCTATAAAACAAGCGGTTCTTGCGCTTTCTTTTGCTGTCTGTCGTGCTCGTCAGGCAAACCCTTCACGGGTTCAATGACTCACTACTTTCTCGTGTTGGATGGCTGGAAATGTCAGTATGTGTGAGTCGAAAAGCAAAGCAGCAACTTACAGGAAGGCATTATTAACTTGCGAAGAAGTTTTGTGATTGCGGCCAAACCATCCCCATGCCGAGTCTTTGCCTCGCGACGACAAGTTGACAAGGCCTCTGTACGAGACAAAGAGTTCGTCGGTTTTGCTGCTGGCCTCCACTCTTTTTTCAACCAGCGGATCTCTATAGCAGGCGGCAGCGGCAGCGGCAGCGGCAGCGACCAGCAAAAACCGAAAATAAGGAACAAACACCCATGCAAAGATTGGGGGGGAGACAACTGCCTGCCGGAAAAACAACTCATTTTCCCAGGCCAGCGGCCCAGGCCACCAGCCGGGAAGTGCATGGTGCTGGGTCTTGTGGCAGCAATCAACTCCCCACCTGCAGAGGCGTCCGGCCATCGCTGGTCGTCACCGTCAGCAATGCGCCTTTCTCCAGAAGGTAGCGCACCGTACCCTCATCGCCTCTGGCTCGTTCGACGGGCCAGGGAATGAGAAACGGAATGACCCCCAGAACAACCATCCATCCGAGTTGGTTTCCTTTCGGGGATCCCAAACGGTTCATTCATCCAACTGGTGGCTCTTTATTCGCGAATCCAGCCAAAACCGGTTCATTCTCAACACCCGAAAGGACGCACAAAGTATTTCCCCACCTGGCCATGGGTCAAAATCCCGTACCCCCAGTGAACATCCCAATCCCCACCAAAACAGACTAAAATGGGTGGTGCACCTACCCATAAAATGGTACCATTGGTTTTGACCCACAGCCACCTATCGAAAACCAGCCATGAATGAGCCCTGGGCTCCCGGACCAGCTTCCGCTGCCTGGTGCAAAGCTGACCAGCGCCCTGCGGGCTGTACGTTCACCAAGCCCGGCTTGGCCTCCAGCAAACCGCACTCGAGCGGGGCGGGGGGGTCTTTGGTCCGATCCTGGTGCGGATTCTTGACCACCAAAGGCTGATTGTCTAGGTCCACATGTGAACCCATGGCCGCTGACTTCGCAGAATTCAGCCAGAACTAACGGTTCATCAACCCAGAAACTAGGGGTTCATACAAGGGCTTCATATCATATACATTCAACCTATGAGACCAATTTCAAAGCTCTTCCCCGTCTTCCCCTTGAAATATCGTCGGAGTTCCTCGACCTCAAAAACAGACCCGTGTGTCGATCCTCTGCCCAAACAATGCTTGGTTGTCCTTTTGGTTTCCCTCTAAAACCACAAAAAAGAAGGCACCCTCAAACAGTGCTGGAATGAACCCAGGTTCGGTCCTCTTAAAGCACATCACCAGGATGGTTTTTCAACAGGGGTCATTCCATTTTCTCACTCCCTGCCCATTCCCCAAGTTGAACACACAGCTTCCCTCCTTCCCTCTTACAGGTCGGCGTCTGTCAGACGCAAAATGGACTCGAGCTGCGCCTCGATCATCTCGCGGACCTTCTCGAAGTTGTACTTCTTGGCCTCGCCAAACCGGATCTCGGACCATTGGAAGCGAAAGCTGGAAACGATCCATTTCAGGGGGTCCCCGATCTTGAGAAACACCCACGCCCGAAGTGTGCCAGGCCCCTCACGTGGTCGAACTGACTTGCCAGAAAACTGTGCTCTACAAACTGTAGGCCATATCTGGTTGCAAGACAAAAACACTTTCCGCTTTCTACCACGAGCCTCCACAATTTGGTCAACCCTTCCGGTCTGATTTGGTGATTGCAAACCGCCGGTGTGTTGGCAGACATCAGAATAGAAACCATGGTGCGGCTCCCCCAAATCATACCAAAACACGCTGCCAGCCTTGCATGAAGAACCATTGATCGAGGAAGCTGGGAGCAAGGAATGGTGGCTGGGAGGCTCAAGGTTTCAGTAGACAGGGGTGTTTTGACATGTGCCAAGAATGGCTTACTTGTACAATAACAAAACAAAAAACATCTACTTCGGCATCCTGGAGCTTTTTCGTCTCAAAACCCGTCCTGGTCCAGGAAGGCGTGCTGCTCCGCCATGGGAATGTCCTTGGCTACCGGATGCTTTTGTCAGCGTTCTCCGAGGCCTTCGATTGGTCCTCACCTCTTTTTCTGGGACAGTGCGAGGAAGTATATCGCAGTCTTCCCGCAGGGGCCCACGGTTTTGTTGACCTGGGATTGAAGCCCCCACGCCCGCCCAAGATCAACAATCTTGGAGTTGGAGTTGGCGGCAAAAGGGAACACTGCCCAACAGTGAATCGGTGTGTACCATTTGGTATTCGTTCAGTATTGGGATAGTGCCTGATACTCATTGCGTGCCAGCTTGGCATTGTTCGAGCTAGGATGAGAAGCGTCCGAACTGAGCAAACCCCACATGAGCTCGGATTTGTGAATCTTGGCGCTGAGGCTAGCCAAACTGTAAACAGGGTTCAGATTTGCCAGGGGGCCCCTGCGTCATCCATCACGTCCATGCCCCCATCGTCCATCTCCTCAGAGCCCAGTGGGTAATTCTGCTGTCCAACCTCCCACCCAAACTGACGAGGAGTCAATGAGGTCTTGGTCATTTGATATATCTTGATCATGCCATGTCTTTCTTATTTCGTAAGCGTTATCTATTTTTCTTGCTGATACTGTCATACAATGATGGTTGTCTCTGGTACGGTATAGCTGTAGCTTCTGAAGCAAACAAATAAACGTCATAATGATGAGATCCTGTATACTGTTATCTCTATTTATATCTGCAACTATTGTTACATGACTTTAGCCATTCTAATTTGTTATTATCGTACAGCTTCTTTATTCTACTCATTGTGTGTCTTCTTTTATTTAAAAAAATGCTCGGGCAGTGAGATTATGGGACATAATATTCATGCATTCCTAGCTTCATTGAGATTGTTTGTTGTTCAAAACATGTTGGAGAGTCTTCCCTCTCACCAAGAGATACAGAAATCCTAACATAAAAATATGGGGGAAACAAAAGGAAATCAAGACATACAATGACATGGAGGACACATCATCATCCCCGGCAGGTTCCCTTTAAACTTTAAGGGCATCCGCGGATTTCTTGGGTCAAGTTCGAAGGACTTCAAAGGGCTTCAGAAACTGGGATCAATGACAAACCTCAAGCAGCATCAACTCAAAGTCTGCCTTTGGCAATCTGCTCGCGTCAGTGCAAGTCTCACATCTCTGCAAATATGTTTACCAGTCCAACAGCAGATTGCTGATCAACATGCTGATCAACACATTCGCCTTCATTGCGCGATGGGGCTGGAGAACTAACCTTGTGCTCTCCCTGCCAAGCATCGACAGCGGGACGATCGACTTCAGATGCCCGGGCTGCGTCTTTGAGCCAAGCTAAGAGTGTGACAAGCGATAGGGACACAACAGCTCCTGGTCTACACTTCTGCTTTGGCCTCCTTGCCAAACCTACATGTCCAGCGCTCCCACTGTCAAAATGTGTGCTTCAACATCACGGCAGGTCAAATTCGCAGCTAAGCAATACTTTGAACAGGAGTCACAGCAGAAGCTGTACGGTCCGGTTTGATATGCAAGATGGTGGCTCAGTCACGTGCTCTGCTTGCTGCCCGCGCTTGTCCAGCCTTCTTACCCTTGCCCACGTCCATGCCTTGGCTGTCAATGTCGTGCAGTTCCTTCCCTCTTGTTTTGTGGCAAAGCTAGCAAACCACTGCAAGAACCCAAGCACAGACCAAAGGAAAAGCGAGGGAAGGTCCAAAACCTGTCTGAACAGCACACCTCACAAGCAAGCTGTGAGCCGCACCTCATTGGCCCTCAGTGCTACCTGTGCTTGGCTACAAGTGCATCTTCGCATCCGCGGCATGGGCGTCAAGCAATATTTCTCTTTCAAGCTACATGTATTCCACTTGATGCGCAGTCTATATAATCATGCTTGAACAAAATCCTTAAAACCCGTATTTTCTCTTTACTCTCCTTCTGAGAGCTTCTTTACTGCGTGAATGTGGCAGGACGATTTAGCTAGTTTTACAAGGCAGGCTGGTTAGGCGAAATGAATCATATACCAGGAGTATCTTGCGTATCTCGTTAAAATATTTGCCAGCCCAACTTTGTTTCCAATCTGGGCTCCTCTCTCCACTAAACCATCTGATGGAGCCGAAGGGAGATGAAGGACAAATGATCAGCGCTTTCATTTGAAGATTTGGTGACCTTCAACAAGGAATGAGTCTCTCTCCTTCCTTTCTTATCTACTCACCGACGGAAAGTGACAACAGGTGATTCCATCAGTTGACAGACAAGAGACTCAGGCCACCAATATTGACTCCTATCCGCCCGTTCCCTCCGTCATGAGTTGTTGTAAGAGTGGAGATGGAACGGGGAATTGGAGGTTGGTAGCTAAGTCCCTGTGAGTGTCCCTGCTTTCTCTCTCTCTCTCTCTCTCCCTCCCTTTCCTTTCCTCGCTTAAACTCAGATTCCACTGACCGCATACTCATTCGGTTCACAACCTGTCCTGGTGATTTCTTTTGCTGGTCACACCGCGTCTGTGACTTTTGCTTGGATGCGGACATCGGCCAAGTTGCAACCAACCAAGCAAGCAAGCAAGCAACCAACCAAGCAAGCAACCAACCGACCAACCGAGCAAGCAAGCAACCAACCAACCAACCAGCCAGCCAAGCAAGCAAGCACGCAAGCAAGAAAGCAAGAAAGCAACCAAGCAAGAAAGCAACCAAGCAAGCAAGCAAGCAAGCAAGCAACCAACCAAGCAAGCAACCAACCGACCAACCGAGCAAGCAAGCAACCAACCAACCAACCAGCCAGCCAAGCAAGCAAGCACGCAAGCAAGAAAGCAAGAAAGCAACCAAGCAAGAAAGCAACCAAGCAAGCAAGCAAGCAAGCAAGCAAGCAACCAACCAGCCAACCAAGAAACCGGAAGATAGCGACCAAAACGGGCGGGTGGCATGAGACTCCCACGACCCCCATTCCATGACTGCATATTTCTGACCCCCTTAAAACCCAAGAGCCACCTGCCACCACCCCAAACTACAACCTTCCGGGCTGCCCCGCCCGGGGGCGGAGGCACCTGAAGCCGCAAGCGGTTAACATGTACGAAGCTTTCGAAACTTGGGACTGTATCTTTGCTGAACAAGGATTCTTAAAATGCAAAGGAAAAGGAGCCAGTCACAATATGTCATATGTGTCTTTCTCTGGAGGGTACCCCTAGCTTGGCGGATTGAAAGGAAACACAAAAGGAAAACCATCTTTTGCTTGGGTCCCCCCAAACAGAGACCCGCCCGTGTGCTGCCTCAAGTGTCTGGCGAGCCCGCAACAGCCCAAGATGAATCGCACCTCTGAGTTTCCGGGCCGCGCCAAAGCCATAGGGGTCATAGCGGGGTGCCTGCGATTGAACCAGAGACTACACGGAATGCATGGCCCACAAGTGACATCGGAGATGCAGAAGCCCGCGTCGCCATCCACATCACATGGAGGAGCAGGGAAAGGAACAGGAGAACAGACAAGCCTTGATGACTGATGGCAAATTGCGGGCGCGCTGGCAAAAGCCTGCGTCACCCGCATCGCATTGAGCAGGGAAAGAAACAGGAGGACACTGCTTGCAAAGATCTGCGTGGAGGAGCCCTGGACTCAAAGTTCGAGCGACGAGCAGGAGTGCAGACTCCGATGGCGAGGCAAGCGTATCATGAGTTTGGCACATGTCCAGCATGAAATTTAACATCAAGTTGTGATTGGCGAACCGTGCAAGGAATTATGGAAAGGAGGATATCCGCACCTATGGCAAGGGGATTGCATCTACCCGGGATTTCAGGACGTGACCCGCTGAGTTCGGACGTGACCCGCGACTTAGCTCGCCCCGACCAAAAGCCGGGCGCCTCAGGACCCGGCCACACCTAGCCCAGCCGGTGAGACACATCGCAGGTCCCCAAGGGCCACTAAAAACCAAGTTGCAAGTGCGAGCACATCTCTTGCAACTTGGCTGAGTTGGATCCCTTGGCACAAACAACAACTCCGGCGGTCTACCACAGGCCCGTCTTGTGTTTGCAGTCCTCGCTAACTGAAAGGTAATATCCACTTTTCTCAGAACCTGTGTTCACAAAGCTAAATCAGACATTGAGCTGACCTGTGTTCCTCTCGGTCGCTCAGATCGGCAAGATTTGACCACAATCATGAGTCACTATATTCAGGGGTTGTGGCCTCAGGAACAGCTTGAGAATGATGTCCAACCGCCGATGGCAGGTAGCTTGCCATCACCAAACAAGGTTTGGAAAAAAAGGGATTCCGACGCTCGCCTGCAATGCTGCGATTCTTCGGACAGTGGGAGATTTCAAGCATTCCGTAGCTAGGAATCCCCTCTTGCAGGCATCCCGCTTTGGCCTCATTCTCTGAGACGAACCAAGCAATAGGCCTATAAGAGGGGGTCTCTGAAAAGGATATCGTTGGCTCTGCACTTTAAACCCCCTCGCACTCTGTTGGCTGCATCGTGTTGCAATCCCGGGCATTCTTACGAGCCACAGTCACCATCTTCCCTTTTCAGACCCGCGGAATTCCCATTGACCCATTTGAGCGTGTCTTTTTGAGAGGACCACTCAAATTGATGGCTTTGCTTTTGGTTTCCCCGCAAAGCCAACCAAAAGGCGGCGTTCCCCTCAAAGACGAGCCGCCCATTTGGTACCTGTCGGGTCCGTGCCGGGCCACCGCACGGGCCGCGGAAAGGCAGGGCCTGGCTGAGGCGTTGGATTCTGACGGTTTCTGGTGCTCAAAGTCGTTTCCCTCCCACAACATAGCTGTCCTTTGAGGGGAAATGGATGGCCCATAGATGATTAAACCACCAGGTAAACCAGGGCCATCTATTTTTCGACCAAAACAACCAACAAGGACACCTGCCCGCCCACACTTTTCACATTGACGTTCATTCGGGGGTCCTGGATTGGACTGGACCGGGTCCCGAATGTCAGGCTCCGGCTGAAGGATGAGAGGGGAACAGTGATGGTCAAAATCATGGGCCATTGCCCGGCACTCGATCGAATGTGCGCGAGGCAAGCACCTTGGCTTCCCCAAGGTTGCTTCTGTCCCAAGACTCCAATGGTTGAACCTAGTGCCTGGCTCAAACAACCTCTCAATTATGGAAACTCTCACCATCTCGAGGAAGCCCTGCCCATCACGGCGCACATTTCTTTGCTCAAAGCATTCGCGCACGCCTCTCCCACGCTCCCAGGATGGATCCCATTTTCCCAGCTTGGCCGAGTCGGTGAGAATTCCGAGTCCAACCCTAGAACTCGCGAGCCGAGCTTCTGAAAATCGGGGCCAGGCCCGAGCGAGCCGTAACTTTGACGGCTCGGGGGCTGTAGCCCACATGCCATCTTCTCCCTTCACCTCCACAGAGGGACGGAGGGGCTGGAAATCGCAGGGGGATCCGGATCCGGTCACCCCTGCACTTTGTTCAAGCCGTCTTCATCCTCCGGGGGCTGCGGACGTGCCCGAGTCTCAGCATCGACAAGAACACGTCGCTAACTGCAAAGAAACACGAAACTTGGCGTGTCGTGCAACGAGCTCGCCCACCCCCCCCCTGAACACACACACCCCCCCACCTCGTCCAACTGGGTGTGTCTATTTTTGCGGGACCCCCGAAAATGGCGCAACGGTCTTCCTGCTGGCTCCTTTTTCAAAACCATCAAAAAACCCGGGGCATCCCAACAAAAAGACACGCCTGCCCCGGAAAAAAGGCGCGGCCGCGGCTCCTCGTCCAGGTCCATGAAGCGCCCGAAGCGGCGCACCAGGTCCACCTGCGCGATTTACTCAAGTGAAGTCTCAAATTCGACACCTGACGTTGATTGATTTGGACATGGTAGGGTTTGGTTGGGTTTGGTTGGGTTTGGCGGGGTGGGTTTGGTTGGATGTGGTAGGGTTTGGTTGGGTTTGGTTGGGTTTGGTAGGGTTTGATTTGGACACGGGTCTGGCTTTTCTCATGGGCGGCTTTTCTCATGGGCCACAATCAAAACACGGGCGGATGAAGGATAGTAGGGGAAGGTCCCAATCATAAATGGGTGCGGCCGCCGGTAGAATTCTCCACATTGGTTTGGGTAGACGGGTAGACCCTTGCTTGTAGCACCAGGTGTTGATTTTGACTCAAAAGCTGTAATCAACGCAAACCCTAGCAGCTCAAGCATTGTGAGTCCTCTCTGAGCCTTGCCACCGCTACCAGTGGTTTAGAGGGCGCACAACCATGCTGTGTCTGGGAGTGGGCTTTGTCCACTCTTGCTTTCTTGTCTCCTCCCCTATCCCAGCGGCTGGTCGGTGCCCTTGTAGTGGCTAGATGGGCGACTAAGGAAGAGCGCAACATGGTATCCAGGGAACAAACGCAACCCAAAGCCGTTTTGGGTGCCCACTTCTGTCATATCGCCAAAGCTAGAGTTGTTGCGTTTGCAATGCAAGGGGACTTGTTTGTTCCGGCGACAACTGACATTGTTGGTGATTTCGTGTTTTGAGACATCCCACTACTGGGGTTGTTGGAATTGAGGGCACCCCTGCGAAACGAAATAACATGTTCCATTTTGGCTGTGCCAGCTTTTCTTGTTGTTTGCAGGGAAACCAAAGGAAAGCCACCGTTTTGGAGGGTGTTTTGTAGAAAGAAACAAACATACCACCAAGTACTCTTTGGTTGACATCAGATTTCGGTGGGGATAAAATGGATAAAGTTACGATATCTGGGCCGCCCTCAGATCCCCGCTAAAAGTTCTTAACTTCTAGTGGGTTAAATGGGGCTCTACCACTAAACGCTAAGAAGATAAAAGGCTAAGGAACCGGATGGCTGGGAGCCACCAAGATATGCTACAGTCACTACACCGAGCCTCTCGGATGCCCGTGCAGCCACTGAGCTCCAGCCACTGCACCGGCAGCTGCGCGCAAAGCTCCTGGCGAGGGCTGAGCCGAAACCCCGAGGCGCGGAGGGCATGGGTAAGGCCCGCTGATCCCGGTGAACATCAGATTCAATCCAACCACTAAAATCGGTTCTAAAATGGGTGCATTCACCTACCAACCAAAAAGGGATCCCATTGGCTTTGAACCAAACCATATGCCCACCTGAGATGGGGGCGATGTGGCATGACTGGGGAACCGCACATCTGGGTTTGCAACGGTCAGCTCTATGCCAGGGACGACTGCACCCGGTCTAAACAGAAGGGCGCGCGGATGCAGGAAACTCCCAAGCATGAGGCTTACCCAGTAGCAACCAGCCCGGGCCTTTTGTGGTGGCTCCGAAGGGTAGCGGAAAGAAGAATCACTCGCTGCCGGTGCAGCGTTGGGACAAAGCAATCTCTGTAAGAACAAAAAGTAAGCAGGATGTCTCGCCATGGCTATCCGTTTTCGAACTGAATGGCACTTTTCCTTGCTCTCGGCAGTTGCCGCAGATTGTCAGAGTCCTCCCAACATCAGTGGAACGCTCAAAGGCGATCCGGTCGCTCCTCCAGCGCGTCCGCGGAGATGCGCGGCAGGCAGGACAAGTTCAGCGAGGACAACTCGCGCGGCGCGCGGAGCCCAACCCGCCAATCGCCCGTCGGATGGCTTCTGGGAAACCCTTGGGTAGAACGGTCAAAGAAAGGCCACTCTAAGGCACGCCCAAAGTAAATTCACAGCTCTGTGAGATCCGATCCATGCAGAATGTCCAAAACCTCCCCGCAATCATTTGAAACTTGTTTGTGCCCTGCCTTGCTTTTGGACACTCAAACAGGCGTGCAGGGTAAAAAGCGTTTCAACACACCGACCGTGAAACTTACGGGTGGGTGAGCACTCTCCCCTCAAGAAAAGACATACACGCGGGCGCCTTCTGATCCACTTTGAGGTGGCTGTGGGTCAAAACCAATGGTACCATTTTGGGGTAGGTGAATTCACCACCCATTTTAGAACCTATTTTAGTGGGGACTGGGATGTTCACTGGGGGTACTATTTGGATTCTGACCCATGGCCAGCCTGTCTGCAAGCTCGCTCAGCTGCCACCCGACCAGCCTTCCCACAGCGCAGCAAGCCTTGCAGGCCCCGGTCCGTGATGCAGCACCCGCAGAGGTTCACCTGGCCATGCGTCAAAATCCCGGTTTCCCCCCAGTGAACATCCCAGTCCCCACTATAATAGGTTCTAAAATGGGAGGTGCACATACCCAAAATGGTGCCATTGGTTTTGACCCACAGCCACCTCGCGCGCCAAAGTGGAACCAACTGCGGCCAAAACTTGCCCAAACTTGCCGGCATGCGGCAATCAATGGTCTGAGCAAAGTCGCGGTTGCCTGTTTCACGACAGGGACTTTCCTCCGTCCAAAAGAATGAAGAAGCGCCCCGGGGCCCTGGGCATTTCGAATTGCCCGAGAAAGATGCCGCGATGAATGAATAGGTCTGATGCCCCATATGGGGGGGGTTGAGGGGAAACCACAAAGATGGTTTTCCTTTTGGGTGTCCTTCAAACCACCAAAAAGGGTACCCTCAAAAACAACACCCCCATAAAACCTCTTAGATATGCCTGATATGTCTGACTTACTACACTGATTTGAAGGCCAACAGAAAGCATTCGAGTCCACATCCTGTAGCTTACCGTGATCTAACCCTCGCAAAGCCTTGCCCGTAGTGGAACCAAAGGATGAGAATCATGCTCCGAGGGCTCCCTAGACGTCTCCTTGAAACATCACAGCGTACATACTGAATGGTGTGTATCCAGTGGCTATACAGAGGCTGTGTATCCCTGGTGGTTTGAGGGGGGCGCGGAGGGAGTTGAACACCATCTTAGATAAAACCAGAAGGCGAAAGTGTTGTCAACAAGGGAAATGTACAGAACCCCCACCCCCCACTGCCTACGGCCGCCCGCTTGCCGCATAGGACCGTCCCAACCCGCCTCTTGCAGACAGACGCAGTGCCTGACCAGTGCCAGCAGCGCGTCATCATCCACGCGCTGGCTGTAGGGCGCCAAAGACCTTGGGCCAAACGCCAGTCTGGTAGCCAACAGGGCACCAGGAAAGGACACCCTTGTCTTGACGGTGCTCAGAGGGCATGATCCCTTAAAGAAAACCTATAGGTTCATTCCCAACACCCTGGGTCATTCCCTACTGAGCACCAGCAAACTGTTCCCATTGTCTGGCTGGCCCAATTTGCAATATTGACAGGCTTTGTCAACACAACTGGATGCCAGAAAATAAACCAAACAGGCCGCTTTTAACCAAAGGGCATGAACCATACCGAACTCGTACGTGTCAATCAGTGTGATGACGAGCCCTTTGCGCAACAAGTCTGCTTCATGGTTGTCCGGCCTGGCCGCACCGCACGAAGAACGAAGCTTTATGCAGAAAAGTACATATTCACATAGTACTGTCTGTGCAAATCATGTGAGTTGTCGACAACTCACACCTGAGCATCTGAGAACTTGATCCTATTTGTCACGAAGTCAAAGCGGTCCCCACGTTCGGAACTTCACCTGTCTCCAAATGGCCATCTCAATCCAACCACTAAAATAGGTTCTAAAATGGATGGTGCACCGAAAGCCCCAAAATGGCCAAAAATCGGTTTTACTAAAATAGGTTCTAAAATGGGTGAATCCACCTACCCCAAACTGGGATCCCAAAACGGTTTGGACAACCACAGCCAAACCTTCACGGCCGCGCCGCAGCTGCTGAAGCCGCTGCAGCCACTCGACCGCCGCCTTGCGCCAGGAGGTGCTGAGGCAGGCGAGGCGCGCGGCGGAGCCCAGCGGCAGGGGCCGCAGCAGGTCCACCCGGGCCTGCGTCGGGACGGGACCCGAGAGGAACCAGGAAAATATGTTTGCACCTTTGGTGGAAAAATGATCAACCCCCTTGTAGTGAAGCATTCCTTGTCAATTTTCTCACAAAAGGTGGCAAAAAGACCCCCCCGGAGAGAAACCGGCGACCGCCCTGGTGGATGGCAGCGATCTGGACTGCAAGGCCCCAAAAAACTGTGAAAGCGGCGTGCTGTCTTGGGGAAACAAAGCAGGATGCTGTGGTTGCTCTGGGGTGGCCAACATTTAGGTTGGGGTGCCTTCAAATCGCGGGCCAACGTGGGCCTCTCACTGTTTGACCAAATTGAAAGTTGGTGACTGTCAAAATGGTGTAATTATGTCTTTGAGAAGCCAGATTTGAGGCAAGGCGTCGACCCATCTGATAGAGCAGCTTGCGTGGCTTGTGCACTATTTGCACAGCATTCTGATTGAAAAACAAATACTGCCGCGCGTTGCTTTTCCAACTCTGAATTGGCAACATGGGCGCTTGGCTTGGCTTGGCTTCCTGGTCTTGTCAACCTGTAGTTGCTATCAAGCAGCCCCCCAAACCGGATAAAAGATGTGCTGACCATGCCCATCAACGCCAGCCAAATATGTAACCAAGTCATCTCCCTCGCAATGGCCTTGCAATGATTGACTGTCAAAAGCTAATCCATGGAATGGTGCAAATTACAAATCTGCTAATCTATGGGCTTCATGAAATCCAAATTCGAATGGTGAAATTAAAAATTTCCACAGGCGCTCATCCAGCCGCGGAGACACCTTTTTACATCGCTGCGGCGAGCGTGTCTGCGCGCGGCGATGCTCAGTGTGTGTGGTCACATGAGAGCTCCATCTCATCATCCTACTTTCCTCTCGAACTGCGCCGCGCGATTTCTCACGAAAGTGGTCTGCGCAAGCTGCATTGTTCCAGGCTGCTGCGCTCTGCAAGCTGCTGCACGCTGCTGCACGCAAGTGCTCTGTGCAAGTTGCTCTGCGCAAGTGCTCTGAGCAAGTTGCTCTGCGCAAGTGCTCTCTGCGCCATGTAACTTGGCTGCTAACTTGGCTCTATGTAACTTGGCTCTATGTAACTTGGCTCTATGTAACTTGGCTCTATGTAACTTGGCTCTATGTAACTTGGCTCTATGTAACTTGGCTCTATGTAACTTGGCTCTATGTAACTTGGCTCTATGTAACTTGGCTCTATGTAACTTGGCTCTATGTAACTTGGCTCTATGTAACTTGGCTCTATGTAACTTGGCTCTATGTAACTTGGCTCTATGTAGCTTGGCACTATGTAACTTGGCTCTATGTAACTTGGCTCTGTGCAACTTGGCTCTGTGCAACTTGGCTCTGTGTAACTTGTCCAAGGGCTCCGCACGGAAGAACCCTTCGCGATGCTTTCGGGAATGGTGCAAATGTGTCAAGCTAATCCATGGAATCTATAGAAGATGGTGCAAATTACTCAGAGCATGTCAACTCCGACCGGCTGCGCAAGCGACTTCCGCCCGCACCTTCAGCGTCAGCGCTTGCATGGCAGCCGAAAAAAGTTAAATGGCTATGGGTCAAAACCCCGTACCCCCAAGCGAACATCCCACTCCCCACCAAAATAGTCAAAAATGGGTGGTGCAGCTACCCCAAAATGGTACCATTGGTGTTGACCACGGCCAAATGGCAAACAATTGGCCACGTGTGTCGCCCGCTCTCGGTGCTGAGCTTGTCAATGCTTGGCATGCAAGAGACATGTCTTCTGGCCATGGCAAAACTCAGAAAATTGCTTGAGACGCTTCCGAAACATGCCTCGAACTTTGCTGGGTTCACTTTGTCCCCTCCATGCTTGCAGATCCTCCAATATGGCTTCGGGTACAGCTAGCCAAGCCAAGAATTCTGGCGCCGCCCGTCCCAGCGGATGCCGCGTTCGTTTCTCCTGGCCATTGGCTATCGGGTCTGTTTGCTATGAATTCCATGCAGAGCCTCATGCAAGGGTGAGACGCGAACCCTAGCTTCATCCCTCTCAAGTTCTCCCAAAGTTGTCAACTGGCCTGCACCTCTCATTTGCATTTAAACAATTCATGGATCCTTACATTATACACCTTTACATTGCCTTGCAAATGGTGGTGTCCATTTATTTTGCTGGAAAAAGACATGTTTCAAATGGGCAAAATGTATCTTTTAAGGAGCCCTGAACAATTCATGGCCTTTTGGAGAAGTCTTGGGAGCTCGGGCCCCCAGTGCCTCTTTGTGCCTTTCGGCCTTCAGGCGGATGGCAGCGTGACGTTGATGTGATGGGTCTTCTTGGAGAACTTCGCCTTCACCTTCGACGGCGCGACCTCAGCGTGGTCTGCGGTCTTGAGGCTCTGGGATTCAGCTGGAGATGGAAACACAACATGGGATTGTCTCCAAGGGAATCCCAAGAATCTGTGGTGGTCGTTCCTCTATGTCTCTAAGGTTGGGTTTTAGCTCTACAATCATTTCAAGCCCCCTGCTATCTCCGTTACTAGTTTTGAGAATCCAAAGAATCCTTCCTCTAACACCTACCGGAGAAAGAAAGAAAAAAGGTGCCATCGAAAATAGGCTGATGATATACGCAGATGGATGCGTTGCACCAAGTATCCCACCTGCCAGCAATACGGAGAAGGGCCACAACCGGATGATGCCGCAGCGGAACTAGCAACGCGCTCTGACACCACCCCGTCTCTAGCCCCAATTCCCTCTTGAGTCTGGGTGGCCGCCACAGGCAGCGACACCTTCAAAGGCTGCAGGGAGTGGGGGAAGACCACCGCCGCGCAGTCCTGCGTCACGTCCAGGTCCTGAGATGGAGAAAAGAAGCCCAGGGGGTCGAAGCAAACACCCCTACCCCCGAGATTCCCTGTCAAAATGAACCAAAAACAAGGGAGGGTTACTCAAAAACGGGTATTTGGGGTTTGACCCACACCCAACCCACCTTGGAAGGTTCTCAAAGTCCAGAAAACGGCTTGGAGCATAGGTGTCCTTTGTGGGAAAACAGACGGCCCTGGTAGTTGATTGAACCACCAGGAAAACCAGGGCCCTCTAGTTCTAAACCAAATCAACCAAAAAGGACACCTATGGTTTGGATGCTCGCGCTTCTTACGCGGATGTCTCATGTTCTCAGGCGCCTCTTCCGTGCATTTCACCCTGTTTTGGTTCCCCCAGTAGGTGTTTTTTCTTTAGTCGCCTTTAGTACTCTTTTAATATGCTACCGGGGTGCATCTACTAAAATCACATCCACACCGTGTCCTAGACAAAGGCCCCCAAACATGGCAACGGTCTCCTTTTCGTGTCCTTTTAAATGGGAGCCAAAAGGGGGTGGACCCATTTTGAGAAACTCCCACCCACCATCTTGGGCGAAGCAAAAAAGGGTAAGCTTCCAAGGATATCGGCCTTGGCACACGCAGCAGTTGTTGACATATTCAACCAGCTGTTCTCTATATGACAAAATGGAGGACTCGGTCCAAGTGAAAACAAAGCCACTGAAACATGGAAGATGCTAACCACCCGATTGAGACATAAACCAACCGCGTCCTGGATGGGCAGCCACAAAAATCAAAGAAATCCATCCCTCCCATAGACACACACACACACACAGGCGTTCATGGACAGTTTTCCTGTTCCGGAACCGAGTAAAGCAAGCAGTTGCCCTGTTGTTTTCCGGCAACACGGCCCGACTTAAGACGCCACCGCCGATCCCAAGGTCATGTTAAGCAAGTACTCTTGGTTCACATGTGCTCCTCTGACTGTTCTTTGCTTTAGAACCATCCAAAACAAATGTCCAAAAAGCCAGGCAGCAAAGTGGGCCACAACCAAATGAGCTGTTTCCCGCGCCCTTTAAGACGCCGCACGTCCACGCCTTGACTGCCCCAAGCGCCAGAGGGGCCGGAGCCGCGAGCCGAGGGGCCACGCCCCGCATGGAGTCCAGCTCCGGCACGTGGATCTGAAGCTGGTGGCCTTCCTGGCAATAGTCTTCGCTCGGCGTCTTCTGCCGTGGAAGTTCACTCGGGAAACGCGAGGGAGTTGCATCCCGTTTGAGGGGCTCTGCTAGGTCCGGACTTGAGAGCTGAGAAGTTGGCACCCGACTTTTTTCGGTTTTGTCTAGTTTAGTAGGGGAACCCTCCTCCAAAGAAGGGGAGAGAAGGGCACTACTGGGGGGACCTAGTCTGTTTGAGCGAAGGAACGCTAAAGAACCTTCTTCCAAACAACTGGCGCCACATGCCATATGCCATGAATAAAGCAGGGTCTTACAGGGCAAAGGTTCGCTCGAAGGACCCCGCCACAAAGAGCTCTCACAAGCATCTCAGGGAGGTACCTGTTTTGTGTACCTTGTTTCCTTGCATGGGTCCCGGGGTCAAAACTCCTCAAGGTGGTCGTTGGTAGTCCAGTGGTCCAATCACCAGCGCTGCAAAGCCCCGAAGCAGATCTTTGCCCAACGAGCCCCGGTAGCGTCCGGCCTCCACTGCAGTCAGGCTGTACTCCGCGCTCCGCCTTTCGTCCAGCCTTGCCAGGGGCTTGCTCACCCGAAGAAACAAGCAGAACCCATCCACCCACCCCCCACCAGGGCAGTTCGCAGCTTCCCTGAGGGGCACGAGGACGAGAATAAGGATGACGATGATGATGACAATGATGATGATGATGATGATGATGATGATGATGATGGTGGTGATGATGATGGTGATGATGGTGATGGTGATGGTGATGGTGATGGTGATGGTGATGGTGATGGTGATGGTGATGGTGATGGTGATGGTGATGGTGATGGTGATGGTGATGGTGATGGTGATGGTGATGGTGATGGTGATGGTGATGGTGATGATGGTGATGGTGATGATGATGATGATGATGATCATGATGATGATGATGATCATGATGATGTCTATGACTTGTTGTTGCCACGGCTTAGGACAACCGTGACTCCTATTCCCGTCTCTATGAGGAGTAAACGCCAAAGTTGCAATTCCACGTCGTCGTCTTTCCCTAGCTATTAGTACGCGCACGAGGGCACGAGGTATCCGCCGAGGCCGTTGGGCAACAGGCGACTAGATCACTGGAGCTGTGCAAAGCTCGACGCCAACTCGAACAGGAGGGTGGACCGGCTTACAACACTTGGTCTCGACTTCAACATTTGACACATTGCGCAGATTGAGTCTTGCAACTAAGGAGGAGCTTCAGGCAAAGCCATGCGGCCCAGCAAACACCCGCGAGACATAAACAATTAGTATAGAAATCTGTCCGAGGGTTAGCACTTGTGACTCGACAAGCACGCGCAAGCGCTAACAATTAGTCTTTAGAGTTCTGAAGGAGAGGCCCAGAATGAGCAGATAAATCAAAACACAAACAAAATCAACACAAAAAACAACTGGAAAAGGAGGAAAAAGAAACGTAGCAAAAAAGGAGAAAACAAAACTTGGAAGTCAGACTCAAAAAAACAAATTCTGACTCGGAAAAAAAAGAAAAGGAAAAAGAAGAAAACAACAAGAAGAAAAACAGGAGAAGAAAAAACGATAAAAACAACTCATATCATTAAAAACAAAAAAACATCAAAACAAAATAGCCGGAGGAAAAAAAAACAAACAAACAACGTGGACAGGGGGGAGGGGGAGGGGGGAACACTGGTGCTGAATCAGGCCTGGATCATTATTGCATGATTAGGGCCAAACAAGGGGTGCCAGCAAAACCCTTTTTTTAAGCTGTTACTAACGCCTTACTTAGGCTATCAGTTTGCTCATGTAATGGGTGTGGGTAAAAAATCAACCACCAGGAAGCCGCATTCACGGTGAAAGGGGAGCAAAAGGACCCCGCTCATTTGCCCTCACCGGCGAGGTCAGCAAACGGACCCCGCTCACTTGCCCTCCCCCTGATGACGTCCACCTGGTCTTCCAGGAGCGTGTGCAAAAACACAGGTCTCAGGCTCGAATCCGCCTGCCGGCTCTCTGCCGGCTCTAGCCTTCCGCCTCCTCTTGCCGAAACAGTGAAAGCTTCAAGCTGACAAAACGCCTAAGGGAGACCGACAGGGAATGCAAGGGAGAAAGCGCAACTGACAGGAAATCAAGGGGAAATGCAAGGGAAACGAAAGGAACTGAAAGGGAAATGCAGGGGAGAGGAACAAGAAATGAAGAGGAAACGAAGGGAAATGAAAGACAGTGAAGGGGAAATGAACGGAAACGAAGGGAGATGTGGGAGGGAAATGTCTGGGAAATAAAGGGGAAAAGGACAGGGAAATGGAGGGGAGATTCAAAGGAAATGCAAGGGAATTGCAGGGACAATAAAGGGGACATGAAGGGGCGCAAACTGTGGACTTCACAGGACATGCCGGGGACCACAGGAAGCGGAGGGCGGGCATGGCGGACTGAGCCGGAGGCTCTAAAAACTTTGGGGTTTGTTTGGTTTTTTGGGTATTTCGCCAAACAGTTTACTGTTGGGGTGCTTACTCTTCTAAAAAGAACAGGCCGTTGTTCTTGCGACGTGTTTGGGGTCTACACTGGAATAATTATGGTATTTTTAGATTTCTTTCGCTCCAGCCCCTCCTGGGTAGGAGGGAACTCTTAAAAATTCGCCAGGCGAACCGCCGCCACCCCCGAGCGGGCCCCACCTGGCTGCAGGGGCTGCCTGAGCTTTGCCTTCCAGCAGCGACTGCAAATCGTTCATCCTGGGCGACGCCACTTGCTCCCGTTACAAAGGCACCCGCGCTACCGAGCTTTGGCTTGTCAAAAACCGTTTTGGGATCCCATTTTGGGGATTGGGTGAATTCACCACCCATTTTAGAACCTAGTTTAATGGGGATTGGGATGTTCACTAGGGGTACGAAATTTTGACCCATGGCCCTTTCTTGATCCCGAATTGTTTGAGACTAGCGAGCTCTCACCAGCTCCAACTGCAATGTCTGCATCTGACAGGAGCCAACTTCCAAGCCATAGGCTGCAAAGATACGGCTGGTCGCATTATTTTACCATGATCAAAGCCCCCCCCTAAGTCACAAATCAAAGGGAAACAACGACTTTGATAACCCCCAGAAAGCGTCAAAACAATGACCCCCGTACATCTGGTGGGTCTCCAGACAGCAACAAGAAGGACGCTTCTCAACGCATGTTCTATCTCCAAGGCTCAGAGATTTCTCCTCTGGTGACATCTGATTCATTCTCTCCATGAGGTCACCCTCACCTCAGGGCGCTCTGCTGGAAAACGCTGGGCTTGACTGGCTTCCCAGAAAGGTCCGCACTTACAAAAGGCTCCTGAAGCAGCTTCAAACCGAAGCCTGCCCAACTGGCCAGACTCTCAAAAGTCATCTGGCATCTTTGACGAAACACCCGGCTCGGACTTCCTTTGCGCCCTTTTGCCATCCATTCGACTGCCACCCCTTCGACTGCCCGATAAACGGGCCGGCCACTCGAAAAGGTCCTTTTCGGGGAAATACATGGCCCTGGTAGATGATTAAACCACAAGGTAAACCAGGGCCATCTATTTTTCGACCAAACAACCAAAAGGACACCTTTGGTCAGGCGGCTGAGTTTCGCCAGCGTCTCCAGGTCCGACGTCTTTAGCTCCTCGCTGCCGAGCTGTTTCAGCTCTTCCGGGTACAGCGCCTTCTTCGCCTGTGGGCAGCGAGCAGCGAGAAGGCGAAACGGTCACCCAGGGTCCCATGGAAAAGTCGGAGACTTTCTGGGACTCATGAAACTGGCATCTCCGTGAGACAAGTTGTGAGTACTGCCACTGGACGATCATGGAATTCCGTCTCTGCTCTTGCGTGAAGTTCCGTGATGGAACCTGTCGGGCTCAACCCCAGTATCCTGAATCCAAGGGGCATTCTCCAGGAAGCCCTTCTTCAGCGCAGATTCCGTCGACTCCGCGGCCAACGACTTCGTTTTGGGCTCCTCCAACTTCTTCATCTGCCCTGCGTTCAAGAAGCTGAAGGGAAACCAACCCTTTGGCATCCCCGAGTTTGCCACAAATCGTGTAGGATAGCCTAAAGGGATGCCTGCAGCCTGGGAAGGAGAGGAAAAGCTGTAGATGTTCCATGGGATGGTCGCGACCTGCCAGGGGATCCGAGACCTGAAAACTTGCAGAAAGTCAAACAGCAACAACACGACAAGAATCAGGCGCACAAAGGCCTGAAGACAACCAGCATTTCACTCCCTTTGCAAAAACCACGAGGCTGGCTTACTCAATCAGTGGTCAGCTTGTCTGATGCACGTCCTTTCTCTTGCCACCTAAAAGAAATCTGCAATACATTTCGAGCAATCTCTGAGCAAAGGATGCCGAGCGAGCCGCAATTGCGCGCACACACACACACACATCCCACACTCCACTCGCCAGCGAGGCCTTTCTCATCAAAGTAGTAGTCCCGCGTGTCCTTCTGGGGCGCCTCTGCCTCCTCCTGGATCTCATTGAACCTGTCGGAAAAACCACCTCCTTGATGTTCCTTCTGAAGGAAAAGGCACATCTGGGTACCAAAATGGTATGTGTCCGTGACTTAGCCGTGCATTGATTGCGGGTCGAGACTCAATTTGTTTTCGTTGGCTTTATATTGGGACTTGGTTTATCAGCATCGTTTTCAACATCCCCGCATGTCCAGCCAACATCACCTTCATCACCAGCACAAAAACACAAAACATGGCCCTCCATTGATCGACCCCATCCGCCCATCCCCCGGATTCTCTTTAAAGCCAAGCGGACTGACGAGAGGGGCCCCGGCCGGGAGTAGTCATTGTCGTACTTGCGCACAGCCCTGTCCGTGCCGTCGGGCAGGTCCGCCTGCCATCCTCAGTATCTGCAACAGGCTCAAAGGGGCGGGTCTTAAAAGGTTGCGCCCAAAAAAAAGACACTCATAAGTGGGGTGACAGACCCAACAGACCACCAAGCTTGCGTGGGTCACGAAGTGTAACGCAGGCCAGAGGAAGTCAGCACCAGCCAGAAATGTGTTTCTCGTGTCCACGAGGGGCTCGCTCTTCTTTAGCACATCTTGTCACTGGGCGCCCATCCGCGAAAGATGGTAACGACTGGGAAGCGAAATGCGTGGCACTCTAAGTTCTACCAGTTGGCCACTACTAGTGGCTATGACCTGCAACGCGGGTGTGTGCGTTTTTTTTTGTTGTGCCTCCCTAAATAGCGATTTGCCCTTTTGGTTTCTCTCTTAAAACCCAAAAGGAGCACCCTCCGACCTTGGATCCCGTGCCGGCAAATCCGGGCTTGGAAAACACCGGCTGCAATGTAGCACGGGTAAAAAGACGGGGCTTGCAGAGGGGCACAGCATGGACCCGCATTCAGCTCGTGCCGGGGATGTTGCTTGCTTGCTTGCTTGCTCGCTCGCTTGCTTGCTTGCTTGCTCAGTTTAGTTGGCTGCCTGGCCGGCTGGCTGGCTAGCTAGCTCTCCTTCTTAAGTCAACGGCGGCCCAAAACGGTTGAGAGTGAGAACCCCTGTGAAGCAGAAAAGTCAAAGCATCTGCCTGCAAGGCAACATCCCGCAAAGGGAGAAAAGAGTTGCAACCAGCCACAGTGGCCATGAGCAAACAAGCGACAGAAATGTCTCAGCCACCCCCCCCCCCAGGGCCCCAGCGGTCTGCGGCGCTTTTCTGGGCCCACTTGTCCATGTCCGCCAGCAGCGTGTCTCGAAACTCCTGGAAAGGGGCTGGCTGTGCAGAAAGAAGGCACCTGTGGCATATGGGTATGGGCCAAAATTCAACCACCAGGAATTGGACCGGTTAAATCGTCCATGTTTCCATTTACGGGGTTTTGGGGTTACCCTATTTCTCACCCACAGCCATATTGACCGTCATATTGTTCTAGGTGAAACAAGATTAGGGCGACTGTGTCCGGTGGTCAAAAACGCAAAGCTCCTGCTGCTGCCGGTTCTGCTCCTTTGCCGCCTCCTGCTGCTTGTGCTGTGCCTGCAGCTTGGGCTCTTGGCCGATGGCCTACCCGACACCCTAGACAAATGAAACGGCCTGTTGGAAGCCTTGGCTGACCTGCGGCTGACCGTCTGACCGGCGGGCCGGCGAGCCTCGTATTCCGGACTCCTGGTGTCCACGATCTTGCAGGTTTTGCGCAATCCTCAGCTT